GGGGAGGGCGGCGAGCCCGGCTGTGGCCCCGCGCTCCCCGGCGGCCGGAGCGCCGCGCCGCCCCCCTCCAGGTGCCGCCCCAAGCACCAGCTTGGGTGCTTGGTGCCTGGAGCCGGCCCTGCAAACAACAAGCGACAGGGGAACACCTCTACCTAGCGACCCGGGAGGTGTTATAGAACAGCATTATTTTCACACATGTAAAAACCTCAGCAAGAAGAGAAGTCCATTCCCAGCGCCACCTTAGATTTGTTGGCGCTGTCCTCTCTCCTCTCCCTTTCCCAGGAGCATAGCCAGCCAGTTGAAATGTGTGTTTTGGTACTAGCACCGCTTGTTCTCTGCACTCCACCCCCACTGGCTCTACTACTGCCACACGCTCACAGGGCAGCCATGCAGATCAGATGCATCCCTAACGTACCTCCAGTCACGTCAGTGGGTACAACAGTGAGGGCGTTGACCCAATATGGTCACTAAACTGGCCACTGCAGTTAGACAGAGCTATCTGTTAATAACCGTCCTGAAGACTAAAGCCTTGGCAGTCAATACAGATGAGATCCTGCAGTGCTTATTGGGCAAATCGCCCACTGATGTCAATTAAAATTTTGCTGAATGAAAAACTGCAGGAACAGACTAAGAAATGTCAAGTATCAGGGGGGTAGCCATGTTAGTCTGAATCTGTAAAAGGCAACAGAGGGTCCTGTGGCACCTTTAAGACTAACAGAAGTATTGGGAGCATAAGCTTTCGTGGGTAAGACCCTCACTTCTTCAGATGCAAGACTAAGAAATGTTGATTTTTAAAAAATCCTGGGAGTATTATAGTGATTCCTGATACAGCTGTGAGGAGTTCTATTGTACAGAAAGAATGAAAGGAATTGGCTAGATACGATGACACGAGACAAGGACGGCAAGTAAGTGTAGCCCTCAGTGTAGCAAGGTCATTGTGATCCTGGTTTCACACTGTGAAAGTGAAGCGACTGCAGCACCATCAGGCTTTCTTCTGATGGTTCCTGCAATTGGCGATGTGGTGGTAGAGAAAGGGCGAGAGTTTGGAGGGGGGGGGGGGTCTGTTCTACACTCAAGATAAGAACACCGCTGCCACTGAAGTATTGCTACAGTCAGGACAATGACTCTAAAACGATACTGTGCGGGGAATTCCACATTTATCCTCTGTCAATGACTTCCTTGTCAGATTTGCTCACTTTACCAAGCAAAAGACCATGAAGAAAATTGACCTCCTGCTGTAATGCGAGCACCACCTGGGGGTCAGGAAAAACATGTGCCTCTTTCGTGTCTTCAGCAGCAATCACACTTACACAGACAATGCTCCAGTGCTACTGGGAGAAGTTTCATCACACTGAGAGCGCACATCAGCCCTCTCGTCGGCCACCTCTGAGTCCTGCTAGTGATCCGCTTTTAGTCTCCAGCTCATTAATCTAGTTTCCCAGGCTCTTAAAAGCATCACCATGGGCAGTCAGCATACCATGATGTTCATTAAGTCATTGATAGAGAATGCCGATGTATGGTTCCAGCTCACGGGTAAGGTGCTCCAGAGGAAGACCTAGTGCCCATGATGATGTTCCTGTTACTATAAATATTAACATGGATCCAGCCTGCTTATAAAAGTTTTATGGAGTGTTTGGTTCCCGTTTGCACCTGTTAACTAGTCACATCTCTCATTTCTTTGTACCAAGGGGCTCTGTAAACTGTTACCTAGTTTTATTGAAATCACTTTGTCTATCCTTCTCAATTAAGCTTTGCAGATGCCCATCACAGTGTATCTCTATCTTCAAGGGCCTTTACTAGACATCTAAAGCAACATCCCTTCTGCCACCCTGGCTGGGCCTGAAGACTCTCCTCACCCAGCCTCATGGGGGAAAGCAGCTGTGGTACTCGCCCCTTATACTCCCATGGAGGTGGGGTGGAAGGACAGGGCAGCACAGAAAGGTACTCAGCACCAGCAAGAGTAATCCTGTTCCTATACACCAGGGCGAAATCCTTGCTCCACTGAACATAATGGGAGGTTTGCTACTGACTTCATGGGGGCCCAGATTTCAGCATCAGTATTTTGAAATTGTCTCTTGTGAGGCTTTGCGCTTGGTTCTTTCAAAAATAAACCAACCTCAGCAAGAGAGAGGAGAAGGGAGGCAGGTGATGGGAGGGGAGGGGCAAATGCTGTTGTGAGTAAGACAGATTTGATGAGCTGTGACTGAGGGCAAAGTTTAGCCTGCCATGTCTACTTAGCACCCATTTCCCTAATGATGTGAGGGCCCCCCCGAGGATCTCCAGTTGCCAGAGGGGAGGATCCAACACCATGAGTTTTCTTCCTCACTGCTGCTGCTGGAGGAGCGTGCTCTCTCGTGCTGCCTGGATGTCTCCCTTTCTACTACCACAGGGAGATGAAGTTAGCCAGTGAATTGCTTAACCCCGTCTTCAAATGAAGGCTTTGCTTTGCCTGTGCTCCAGCCTGACCCTGCCAAAAATGTACTGGTGCTGTCCATCCTACTGCAGTGTGCACTGCGCCACCACGTCCCTCAGCAATTTCTGCTCTTTCACCCATGAGCTCCAACAGCTTATGAAAGTACCAGTTAGTTTCCTTTCAGGAAAAGGAACAGAATGAGGTAAATTCTGCCTTGGCCTAGATCCCATCCGCCCCGAGGCCAGTGGATTTGTACATGAGGTAAATCAGGCCAAAATCTGGCTTATTGAATTTTCTCTTACAGCCTCAGATTTGGGGCTTAGCAAGTCTCCCTGTTTTGGAATAAGTAGCTATTTGCCCACGCGCTGTATTTCAGGTCCAATACTAGGGCCTTCCCCTACGCCGCACCACAAGCAAAACGCCCACTTAAGCCAATGCAAGAATGCAGAGTCAAGACCCTGTATTTAAAGACAGATGGAACATGGGGCTCTTTTTAGCTCTTTGCAGTGATGAGAGAGACTTTTTTTTTTTTTAAGCAGGAATGGGTGTGAAGCACATTCAGCTCCAGGGTTTGATCGTAACTGACATCAGAATCTGGTCCAGGTGTTTCCAGTACAGTACAACATATTCTGCTCTAATTTTGTCAGCAGAATTAAGCCTGTTAAATTATATTTTAATGTTTGTAAATCAATGTTCATTAATGTGCAAACTGAAAGCTAATTATGAATTAATATGCTGACTACATCCAAAGAACAAGAACTTCCGAAAATAAATAAGGATTAGTATTCACGTGAACCTAAATTATGCCATGAACTTAAATCACTGTTATTATTGCACCTACTGCTACACCAGTCCTGAGTTTCCTCACAACACAAGTGAAGATAAATGTCATATCAAATCTCAGCTATCATGTATGTGCCTTGTGCTATGGGTAAATACAATCTGTCAAGAAATTAAGTTAAAAACATTGTAAATCATAGGGAATTGCTTTGAATATTCTGGTATTAATGGCATGTTTGGCAGAGGAGAAATTAATATTGACTGTGCCTGTCAAAATTTGAAAACACAATATTTCTGCCATTTAAAATGCTGCAAAATAGTGCACTGGTGCATTCTGTAACAGCTGAACTGTAAGAGAATGAATTTGTGCATTCAAAATGGTCAGACCTGGCACCAGTGATGGGCTCACTTGAGACTGATTAAATTACATGAGAATCAGATATTGCAGAAAGGTGAATAACCCGGATATATTTCTTGAACTCAATACCTACACTCAACTGTGGGAACTTTTAGAAGAGAAGGAGCAATACATACCTCGGCACTCCAGGAACCTGTATCTGTCTTGGACACTCTGTAGGTATAAACATAACCCTTATATCTGTGAAAGAATCAACATGTATTTATTAGTCATGTCTATTGTCAGGTTTAGTATGCAGTTGCTCTGTAATGCTGGAATTAGTTCATTTGATAAGCTCCTTTCCTTAGCAATGAATTAGTCGATGTAGCCTATATTTAGAAATGCAAAATTTGGACCCAGATCAGCGAGCTAGATTTGAATCCCCAGAATTGTACAGTATTAGGACTTGGAGGGTGGGGGGGCATTGTTTGATCCATCTCTGTCTGTGAGATCTACAGTTGCTCCATATTAGACAATGAAACCTGCGTGAATGTTTTAACTTTCCATCAGTGACCTTTTACATGCTTATTTATATATCAGACACACTTCCTGTGGAATAAGAACACAACAGGTATCATTAGTAGATGATGGTTCTGCTAAATGATTTTTTTTTTTAAACTGCAAATGTTCCCAGATGCTATGCAATGGACGTATTTTATTTAGAAATCTAAAATCACATTATCAAAGCAAATTAGAGTTTGTCTAGCTAATGCATTCCTAACCCTCAAAGCTCTGCCTTTGCACTTCAATCCTGGACTGCCCCAAGGTCATTAATAGTCTCCTGGAAACACTGATCACTTATGAGATCCTGAAATCTTCCATCTATTTTAAACACACAGTTTCCATTCAGAGACCTCTGAAAATAGACATCAACTCGAGTCAATCATGCTAGAAGGAGCCCAGTACTTTACATATACACCAAGATTCAAAGATGTGACGTAAAAGCAGAGTGACCGATGTTAGTGACATGCTACCTGTGTAAACTACTTGCTGTGCAAAGTTAAAGTAAGTGGTAACAGATCAGACCAGTGGAGTTTTACACCCATTTTGCAAAGGTGGAAATGACTACACAAGATGCAGGGCAATGGAGAATCAGGCCCAATGCATTCAGAAAATGTAATAAGTTTACAATAATCTGGCATTTCCACCAAGATATTATGCATTATTCAATATTTCAGCATTAGCCATTTTTCAGCGAGCAGGTACATATTACATCTCTTTCCAATTATACACAATATCACTGTAGTTATTATAAAATAATAGAAGTCATAAATGACACAGATATTTGAACACATTTGCTTATGCACTGTATCACATGTCACTGCAACTCAATCACTTATTTCTGAAAAGCCATTTTGATAACCTCAGAAATGTTTCTAGCTATCGGAAGTCATTTACCAACATAGGAAGTCATTAATAGCTGTCACAATGTTTTTAATTCACAAAGTGGGTGCAAAGTGCTACTGTTTTGATTTGTCCGCATTAATACCCCTTGGACTGTCACGTTGCACGGCTGTGAATGCATACACACGGTGCAATGCAGTGGCAAATCAGATCCATTGGGCCAGATCATTTGCTGGTGCAGAATGGTGAAGCTACACTGACGTCAATGGCATTGATGATGAGGATCTGGCCCATGGTTTCTATGCTGAATTACATGTTGAGCAACACCTTTCACTAGCTTGTCCCAGAAACCAACTCTTATTCAAGGTCTTCATCTCAGCTAAGTGAATTACAGCACTTTTGATACCTGTTTTCTTAACGAATATGATCTTATCGTAAAACTTTCTGTTAAACAGCAGGAACTTCATTACCACTTTAAAGCACATGCTACCTTCAGTTTGCCCACAACCTGATTTTCATGAGCTGAGTTCCCCCTCACCATTGCATGGCAGAGCCCCCAGATGTTTTAAACAAAGGTTCATGATTTAACTTGTCTCACATTAATGTTTAGGGTCAGGCAGACAGGCTGTTTGTTTTTAAAGTTGTGGGTGTGTAGCGCAGCTCCCATCCACTCTCACCTTTCCCCTCCCACGCAGCTAGGGACCCTATGCCAGTAAAACCAGATATAACGTACACATAGGCAGTCTTTTAGCACGCTGAATGAGGTGTTTCCCCAGTAGCACCATTAGCTGTCAGCTCAATTTTCTCTCTCTAAATCAGCTCAAACTGGAACTACTCTTAGTTTGACAGGACAGGCTCAGGCGTAGCCTGTCTCTTACACAGTGCATCCTTGTGGGTAAATGAACTGCATGGCATCAGATCAAAACCTGCACTCTTTGCTCAGGGCTAGGGCAAATCCCTGATATAGAAAAACTGCTGGCGGGAGGACAATGGTAAGGGAGAGACCTAGCACCTGGGGTTCTCTCATGGAGCTGCCTCCCAATTTTTCCCTTTGGGGTGGTGGTTGACCCCCATGTCCCATAGAAGAATCAGGAAAAGGACACTCCACACAGGGTTCCTATGCTCTGGCCTTGCTCTGGGGACCTCTGCAACTCTGCCCCAGCTCCTTGACGGGACAGCACCAACAGAACTGAGCTGTCAGGGATGCCTCAGCCAACAGATGGCTCCCCTGTACAAAAAGCATTTTCTGCAGGGTTGGCGTGGGAGACCATGTGAACCCGCCTAGCCATGCCCTCAGCCTGCCCATCTCCTCGCTCTAAAATGGCCCAAATGAAAAGCCCAGGTCCGAACAGCCCTGAAGTTTAGGCGACGTGAAATCTGGATCCACATTGCCGCACTCTCAACAAAATGATGAACGGAGCATTGACTGTTGCACTCAGTGGGCCTGATTCGCCCCTGCAATGCCCCAGTTGTACGCTGGTGAAACGCCATGGAATGAAGCATGGAGCGGCACCAAGGCCTCCACAGAGTCACTTGCCCAGCTTCTTGATCAGAGACAAAAGACGTTATAACTCCTAATTGCTCAGGAGATGGCTTAGAAAATAACTCTGGGTAAAAGTACCATGCTGGATATTGCTTGTAGAAGCGGAGATCGCTAGTTAACATCCCATCTCACATTAGATAGATTTTAAATCTATCGAACAAAATGTCGTGTTGAACAGTTTCTACTTTGGTACCATAACTAGGAAAACTCTGTCAAGGGGAAAGCATAGCAAAGTTTCCACTACAGGAACTATACTTTGCTTTAGACGATGGGTTTTTTCCCTTTATAGAGTATTCCACCCAAAGAGCTGCAAATGCCTCTCACACAGATGATACACTGAGACAGCATCTGCCTACATAGCCTCCTCCCCTCCTCCTTTTTCAGCTGTGTTCAAACGTGTTACAGCCACATTTACTTTAACAGGTGAATAATTACAATCTTCTGCACTGTTGAAATAACTGGAGGATATTAGCCATTTGCTGCAATTTATAATTTAACCATGACATTTTAACAGCACAGTATGTTTTGAAATAATTGCCAAATATTTTGTACCTTGGTTGGGAAATTTTATTCAACTAATGTTTATTCATTTTTAGGCCCAAAACTGAACTGAAAAGAGCAAAGTCAGCAATAAATAACATTAAATGCTGTCTCCTTAAATATAGCTCTTTCCGGAATTATTTGAGTTTGCAGTATCAGTTCCTATGAACTGGCAGTCGATGTAGACATTAACACATCACCTTGGAATTTAATCCATAACCTATGAGTTAGGCCAAGCTGGTAGCGCTGCATATCGCTAAGCTTGCCCACCCTTCCCACAGTAAAGCCCTGTTTTCAGTCGCTTATGACTTCCCCAGATTTTAGCCATTCAAACTGATTTTCCATGTTGGGTATCTGCCTCAAGCTAAATTTTTTGTGGACGTTTTGCCAAAAAAAAGGTTCAGCTATTTCTGAGACTGCTATCAGGGAAAAATACATTGTTTGGGCCAGGTTAAAAAAAAATTCTTATAACCATTTTGTTAAGCGACTCGAGTGCCTCCATACATTGAATTTGACAGGAGGACTGGCTTTGTTTCAAGAATGTGCCTTTTGCTGTCCCCAGGAGAAACCACCTAAATTTGGCCAAGTTATAAGCCTTTGAAAAATTGCAATTCACACATGCTCAGTAGAGACTTGTTAGTTTGGCGGCTAAATTCTCTCAATTCCATATACATTGAGCATGCTCTACCTTGGGGATACAGGGCTGAGCAGGCTTTTTGCTGCATTTGCTGCTCTCAGCTGCTGTGGTCTGTGTGATGCTGAACACCGAAACTAAGAGGCAGGAGACTGTCTCTCCTGTAACCGCAGTGCTGCCCCTGCTAGGACCCAGGCAGCAGGGAAGAGGATGCTGTCTGATTGCAATGAGGAAGGAACAAGAGCCAGATGAAGATGGTGGGGGAGTAGACAGACAAGAGCCTGTGGGAGGGGAGACTAAGACTGGGAGATGATGGGGGTAGCCTGGACCTGGGAGTAGACAGGGGTTGGGGGAAAACCAGGCATAGGAGGAGAGGTGGGGGGGGGGGGAAGATGGATTGGCTAGGCAAGGAACCTGGGAGCTGAGGTCAGAGGAAACAGGAGTAGGGGAAGACTGGGATGAGGTGACAGGGGAAAGAGACATGACTGGGATAGGAACAGAAGGGGTCAGGCTTGTGGGGAACTAGGCAGAAGGAGCTGTGACCTCTAGGCCATACTCCCTTCAGAACATAGACTGGAACCCAAGATTTCTCTGCTCTTGGCAAATATCTGTGAAGCCCACTGGCAAAGAGTGTGGCTATAGTGCTGGTCCATATAGACAATGACAACCTACTACGGCTACCAGCTACTCCATTAGCTCAGGTGCCAGAAGTCTGTGTGGTGGATCTAAGGATTCCCTCCTGCTGATGACCCAAGTGAGTGTCGTATGGTGCCACATGATGGATTTTTTTTTTAAGTTTGCTTTTTTAAAAACCTAGAAAATTTCACACACAAAAAACACCTATGTCAAACGAACATTGAAGTTGCAAATTCAAGCACTCAAAAGTTAGGCAATACCAGAATTAAGGCCGTTTGTGCGATTTTAATTCGGCCCCTCTCTGTGTATTATGATTAAGGCTATGGTTTTAGCACAGAGCTCAGGGTGTTCACAATAATTGTGAATTTTAATAAAATCTGCGGCCATCGCAGCCGTGGCGCCTGTGGGCCCAGCTCCTCACTCCAGGCGTAGCAACCTGGCTCCCATGGTTGCAATGCTGCATAGGTTTGGAGATGGAGGGGACAGATGTGCTGAGTGCACTCA